CCTTTTCAGCAATTTTCGAAAAATGAAAAATATCAAACATTTTTTGCATCATTAACAGATGCTGCTGATATTTTCATTGATGAAAAAATTAAGACCGTTCAAGAATTTACGGCTAGTAGGTACGGTATCAGGAACTGCAACAGTGTGAATGATGCGAGACATCGTATTTTTTATGAAAAATTACTCTGCAAAAGAAGACAGCGAGCACTTTTTAAAAAAAAAATAAAAGGCTTCGACTCCAACTCCATACCACCATGCTGGATATCATTAACACAGAAAATTTTACGAACTATTTTCGTAAATTCCATGTGGCTTAATGCAACGGATCCAATATGCGTGAAACTTGAGCCTTTTTTTTTAACATGGGGAAATGCCTACGCATACCCGCCTCGCGGGGGCAAGGACGGGTTATGTCGGACTCGCACCGACTAAAACCCCATGGTGTTCCACCTTCGTCGCATATTGGCAGGGCTACGGGAACGCTTTCGCACACTTCCGCGGCCCCACCAGCGACTGCCGCCCCATGGCAGCACCTCCTCGGGAGAGGAATATTCCTCCCCGTTCTCCTTCCCAAGTAAGGCGCACCAGAACACATGGCACGCCTTCCTCCACGGCCTCCAATTACATCTGCGCAACAGACGCCCCCGCGTCCGATGCGCCAAATGCTCCCTATCCTCCGCCGCCAACCAAGATTCGGCTGCGGAGGATAGGGAGAGCGGCGCCTCGCAATACCGACAATCCTCTCCCCCCGCAGCCCCATCACCACCGCATCAACGGTGCGGCCCCGTTTGAGTCGCGGAGGATAGGGCGAGTGGCGCATCGCCATACCAACACTCCTCTTCCTCCGCGACTCCACCTCGGCTGCAGCGGTAGGTGGGGAGGACACACCTCTCACCGCAGTCCACCAACACACATCCGAAGTGGGCTTCCCAAGCCCACTCGGAGTGGCCACCTCGGGCCGGCCCTCCACCTCGGACCAGCCATATGGGTTCCTCTTTGTTTCGCCGTGGGTGACCAAGCCACGGCTTCTAAGCCCCCCCGCCACGACAAGGCGGGAACCCGTTCGGGGGGGGGGGAACTTGAGCCTGAGAACTGCGGATGGTTCTTAGATGAATATTTAAAACCAGTTTTCATATTCATTGGGGATCATACACCTTTAAAGATAGAAGACATTGTCGAAAAAAGTGAAACAGAGAGTGATGACAAAGAAGATTCAGAAGTTGAAGATCGTAGTTTTATGTCCGATGACTCGGATTCTGAATAATTTAAAAAAAAATTGTATTTTTAATTTTTTACAATAAATAGAAGTAATTTTTAATAGTTGTTTTTTTATTTTGTCTTCTTATAATAAAAATAAAATTTGCAAGATTACCCTGATAAAAATTCACTTTTATGGGTTTTGAATTTTTTCTAATAGTTTCAATTGATTTCAATTTCTCTGTTTACATTTATAGATTTATAATTTGCATGTAGTAATTTTTTTTTTAATTTTTTTTCAATCAATATTTTTAATCAGGGTGTATTATATATGTATCACTATAACCTTCTTTTTTACTAAAGATGTATATATATACTTTAGTGTCACATAAAAAATATACACATAAATAATTAATTGATTAAAAAAAATTAAATAACTATTTCTCTATTTAAATAATAAACTACTCCAAAATGATGCATAGTATATACGAGTCTATCGCTATCCTTTTCTTTTCCAAGCCCAAATAGCATTCGCACTCTCTTTCTTTAAGTGGGCGGACTTTAAACAGCTGCTATGCTGTGTCCTCTTCTATCGCATGGTATGGTCGGTTGGGACCTCTCAGTCGCACACATTCACTCGGAGCAATATTTTACTTTTTTAAAATTCGACAACCGCAATTCTGGACTGATTTTTCGCAGGCAACCCTATACCACCGTCTTCAGAATAAAATAATCTTTAATTTCATTTAAATTTCATTCAATAAACAGACCGTTGCAAAATGCTAGTACAGATTTACCTGTTTATACCTGGCAACCCGATAGTTGTGACCAGAAAAGAATAGGCAACCTAACGTTTGCATATTCTATGGGCTTCATACTTTCGATTGGTATAGAATTTATCTAATAATCATACCGGTGAAATGTTTAAAAAAATAATTTTTTTTTTAATTATTAATTAAACATACTCTGGAGTGAAATTTGCTAGGCAACCCATATGGATTATATTTATTGACATATTAAATTAAATATAAAATACGTTTCATTAAATAAGCATCTCGGTGAAGGTCGTTTTATATCGGGATCTTATACTATAAGAAATTAATACATTTAAAATAAAATACAGAAATAAATTAATGATTATTGGATACAACATTTATAATTTATAATATGTAATGATTGATAAACTAGTGATTATATCAACTATACAACATTGAGCTATTATAATAATAATCTTACGTGGGTATTTCCTCTGACACATAATAAGAGTTAGCATAATTAATTAGTTACCATATCAATCGAATAATTTGGTACGTAATAATATTGAATATGTTGTTAAAATTTCGATAAATAATGTTATAGTTACTTGACCATTAATATTTGCACACACAGAATATGTAGAACTAATTTAGGGGTCTAATAACAAAGACGGCAAAGTTCCATATCATTATATGGGACTTTGCCGCCTTTGTTATTAGACCCCTAAATTATACTTACACACCCATTGTACAACCATATTGTTGCAAAACAAATATTATTATTAAGTAGTTATTTACCGATTAATTGTTGCTACTTATATAATTTTTTCTTTTTAATTTCTTTCCCCAGAACTATGTATAACATTATATGTGTAAATAATATAATTTGACATTTGCTATTTTTTTATCGATACAATTATATAAGTTGATTTACATTCGACGCTTTCGTGATATGTCTTGTACTTGCTACGGAACTTAGCTGGTCGTTCGTTGTACCCCTGACTTCTTTCTGCTGCTCTGGCACTAGAAGATGTTCTTAACTCACCGATGTGGTTGGGCCTGGACTTCATCGTACGCTTCTTTCATCTTTAATTTTTATATTTGGTAAAATTGGTACTCTTGAATGAATTTTGTTTAAGATGTTTTCTGAATGTTGGAATCTTCTTTCTTGAAACTTGTCAATCTTGATTTAATAGCAATGTTACTACAGCTTCTTTTATAGTTTATTCTCCAGATCTTTCTTCATTTCTTCAATAATATTTTTTCTTTAAATATATCAGTATATTATTGTCCTCGATTTCTCGAAAAGATTGTAGTCTATTCTTATATTCGTATTTTAAATTTAATTTGTCACATCCGGTATTGTTCCCTTTGTTATTATATTATTACTATTATATATTTGTGTTTATTTTTTCTTCAATAAATTACTTTATCTTTTATGCAGGTCCCGGCGGTGCGCTTGCAATGTAGCAGCGCACCGCCTTGCAGGGTCGCCATGTAATGTTGGCAGGTTCGGGGAATAAATAATACGTCTAGTGGTCTTGAATGGAGATTTAATACTCCCTGAAGGTCTCTTAGTCTATCGTATCGTACATCATGAGCATACACTACACATACACTACAGTTCTGTTAGGTAGATGTTAAGACGAGTAAAACTGTTGATTGATTTGTTAAATTTTTATAAAAATTACAACAAAACTGCAAAATACTGACACCTCGTAAAGTCCTTAAAAAGTAAGTAATGTGATTTATAACTAGCAGAGTTAGAAGACTAGGAGAGTTATAGGAATATGACTTCTTTTCTGAATCTACATACTACAAGTATCTACATAATTATTCGTTTTTTTAAATGAAAACGTTACATGTAGGTAGGTTACGCACGTAAGAAAATGTTGAGAACATTTTCTTTGTGGCGTTATTCCAAAAAAATATATCATAAAAATTGTGAATACCTATATTCTAGCCAATATTTTTAAAGACTTATCTTCTAATTCCGAATGAAAATTAAATATAAGCCTTAAACCTAATTGTAATAAGACACCCTTTTAAAAGTAATTAGAATCACCCCAGGATATTTCTCAATATGTATAAGAAAAATGACAGTAAAGTTTTAAAACCCGTAATTGAAAAAACTAAGCATGTTATATGGGACATCTTTACATAAATTTTGCCATTTACTCAAATAAACACAGGTAAAATAATTTAACTGCCAACTTAAACTTACTCAAAGTAATTTATAAAAAGGTAAAACTCCCGCCATGTCTTCGAAATTTCTGTCAATATTACCCCAATGCCCACAATGCACATGAATTAATTTGACAACACTTCGAAAATCGTATAGTAGCCTTGGGTTTGTGGTGTTTGAGGAGAAAGTCTTTGATATTATCAACAAATTGCACCCAGCCCATATTTCGGCTTTACAACGCAACGATGTTAAATACTCCAAATTATCCCATAGAGAACATCCATTTTATATAAAAATAAATCAACTAACATTTTTAGGCATTCCAATATGCTCAAGTAGCATATTGGAATACCTAAAAATGTCTTTAGAAATTAAATTTTAATTTAGGAATGTTATGGAAATTAAATATCTTCGGATTGAAATCAGGATATGATAAAAATTATTGAGAAATTTAAAGAATAACCACATGGTTTAAAAAAATCATATATTTATATATTTCAACTGCGATAGTTCAATGATATGACATCATTTATGAGCAAACCTTTTAACTGATTAGGTATTCAATGAATCAAATTTATAATACAATAATCGTACCGTTAATACGAAATGCAACATATCGATAAACAAACTAACGGAATATAAGTCATTGAATTATTACGCATGTGTTCAAAAATAAAATTAGTTCATGCGAAAAACTAACCGCAACGTGTGAAATGTTTAGTAACGACTGATAACATCTGGTATAGTCATAGATATGGAAACAAGCCGTGCCATATCATATCTGTGGAGTTTCGACCTGCCAGTGATTTATAAAGGGAGAAGATACGAGGTGTAGCCAGTTTGCAACAAAGTTTGAGGAGACATTGTATCATTTGTACGTTTCTTGTTTTCAAAAAGTAAGTGCGATATTTGTAAGTACATAGTGTAAATGCGTTTAATTTAATGTCTATTTTAAATAATTTTAAAATTTACCACTTTAATAGTAGAAAAAGAAAAGAAAATTGCTTGCTACAAAAAGCTTTGTCACAATTGCTTGTCACAAATTTTTGTCAATTAAATTATTAGACATACTATAGCGTCATATTCTTCGTTTAGTGGTTTTAATACGATGGATTATTACAAGATGTCTGTTTTTAATTTATTTCCAAATTAAAATAGACCTAAAGTAGGCCAGCATGTCAAGACTAATTATAGTGGATTGTGATATAAGCTACTACTACTTAATAAAAGGGAAGTAAATGGCAAAAGTTCTCAATAAACAAATTAGTCAATTTAAATTTAAGATATATGAGTACCTATATTTTCGTGTATGCGTGCACTATTCATGCCTTATCGGCTTAAAATATTTACGTTGTATCTGTCGAATTATTTTAATCGTGATTGATTGCGTTTTAGATATAACGTTCGAAATGATTAGGAATATAAGAAATCAATAATCGATGGATTCGAGATCGAAATCTCGAGGGTAGTTAGAAAGAAATATGTGTTCCTCAGTACTTCGTGAGGTTAATTAGTAGAATTTTAAAATAATTTATAATTTATATAACGAGTTTTTTAAAATTTTAGTTGAAAATATTCATTTGGTTTGGTTTCATAATTGTGCCATTAATAAATTTTATCAACTTCTTAAAAATCAATTGAATCTTTTTCTCATAAATTCATTGGTGGATTTTGATAAAAATATAAGACTTTGATTTTACGGGTTTTTTAAACTTTAAATATAATGAATATTATTATTATTATTTTCATTTTGTTTTACGGTAAAAACATATTCATAATATTCATCCTACGATATATTACATTTCCTACGATAATGATAACTGGTCGGTTTAAATTTGGTGTGTCTAAATCAAACTAACATATATTATGTCATAAATGGTATTGTTGTATTTAATTATACGTACCTACTTAATAATACTTACTGTTAAATTTCTATGTAACAATTAAATTCAATGTTACATAGTAAATGTAATTTTTTTGTCTGTTTTTAATGTTTAGAAATTCCCACAATATAATTGCAGAAGCAAATTTCTGAAAGTAAATTAATTTTGTGTTTTGCAACTTTTTAAATAATTTTTCTACATTGTCAATTATTATTTATAATAAGATATATATTTATCCGCCTGTTATGTTTTTTTTGGTTCTTCCGATAAAAGAGGTTCTTTTTCCGAACATGCAATAAGTATTAATTGTAATTTATATTGAATAAAAATTATTCTACTCTATTGCTTGCTTCAAAATTTTACATAGACTGCAAAATTTATTTCCATCGAAATGGAGTATATATTTTATTAAACACAGACTAACAAAGAAAAAAGACGGAACGTTGCGTATTAGTGACACAAAAAGCAAGCGAAAACCATGTTGAACTTATTGTATTATAAAGTAATTCGCAACCAACAACATGGTTTTAGGTTTCAATCTTTGGTTTTAGGTGCATATATGTTCGCCCAGTAGTGAACTTTTACGGGCTGTTAAGTGTTAGTAAAATATGTGTGCATGAGTCAAAGACATTTAGATAGTAGTAATTTCTTGGTATGAGTGAGTGTCAGTTGAGCATGATTTCAGCGTCACTTGAAACGTAGTACGCAATGCTTTGTCCATTTGTTGGTCTGAGATTATGCAATATAAAGTAAATTAATGGTAATGACCCATATTAAATTGTAAGACATTACAACTTCGTCACATTACGATTTCGTCTTGCAGGCAGGGTTGCGAACTTAATAGCAATACTATGTACTGCACATAGTGCAGTTTTATCAGTAGTATAGTTGTAACATGAATGGGTCGGCTCGACCGGTGAAGGACCACGCTCTCACAAAACTGGTATTCTGAATAATAGTAGTCGTAGAATAGTAGCATGATGCTGCTGTGTTTCGTATGGTGAGTGTAGAGAACCGGGGACCCTTTTTTTTGAAAAAGAGGCATTCTATCTTAGTCTTCACGGGTGATAACGCATCTGCATTTTTGGAGAGATATAGATGTCTATGGGCCTCAGTAACCACTTAATCAGGTGGACTGTGTGCTCGTTTGTCACCCTCTAAAAAAAAACTAAGAAAACTACAAAATCAGCGCAGTTAGACAAGTTTACTTTCTGCAATTGTGAATACTAATAGAAAACTATGAGAATTAATGAGAAAGACAATACATCATGTGACTGTCACACGACTTATCATTGATTTCATTCATATCAGGTTTAAAGTTCTTTCACAGACTAACCCCGTCTCTCTCTGTTTTTTCTAAGCGCATACACAATGACGTAAAAATATCATCTCCCGTATGGCTGAGTACTTCCAATTATTCAAAAGATGTCACTGCACAGTGTGTGATAATAGGATGGGAGGTCACAGGCCTCCTCCATGTAATGACACAAAGCACGGTCCTGAGCCACCTGCATCCATCGACTTCCTACATGTCTTACCAGGTCGTCACTCCATCTAGTGTGGGGGGGGGGGGTCGCCCTACACTACGCCTACCGGTACGAGGCTGGACCTTTTAACATAGACCCACTTAATATCACAGTGAATGTCAACAATAAAAAGTTGCTTTTATATCCACTACCACATATCATCCCGTGGGTGTCGTAGGAGATGACAAGCGGGAAACTGAAACAGGAGATAGGCAGCAGCCTCTTACTGATTATAACTCAAAATAATAAAAAAACTGGGATGCCAATCCGCCCGCCAAGCGTGCCAAAATCCTCTCTACGAAATAATCTATGATAGAGCTAAGTTCAGCTATGGACTTTTATAGGCTCTAATAGATAAATAGATAGATACTGTTAAAATCCACTGTAGTTTTGTTTTGATTAAACATTCTTATACTTATGCTCTTTTGATTTTGTCATCTCGTAGTATTCTCCAATTTTTTTTTACAGAATCATAACTCATAGATCGCTTATTCCTGTACAAACTGAAACTTATACGTAAATAAAAAATTGCGCTTTACAATTGGCCCAATTGAGTCCACTTACTTTCTTGAGGGTTAAGTCCGAAAACGGACTGAATGATGGTTGACATTGCCTATATTATTTACTCTTCAATATATGTAGATCCTCATTAATGATCCGAGAACTAGCGACTTCGTTAGTGAAGTGAAAAGACTTCATTTCGCTTTCATTTGAAAGACTCTGTAAATCAAAATATTCCGAAAAAATTACTTGCCACATTATCATTTTCTTATTGAAAAAATGTACCCGCCTCTCGAAGGCAAGGACAGTCTTATGATTTATTACAGAATCACAGTGACTAAAACCCTATGGTGTTCCACTTTCACCGCATATCGGCATATCTGTGAGAATGTTTCCGCATCTACATTAGTGCCATCTGATTCCTACATAAAAGCGGTCTAGGTGCGACCCGAAAGGTCCACACGACTAACTTCTCAGTAGAAAGAATATATGTTCATCTCATATGTTTTAATATTTTATACAATTTTTCATTCGGCACAAAAAACGACTTGACGGATTTTGCTCAAAATTTAATGAGGTCTAAGTTACATAATTATGCGTTAAATGAAACTGGTCCCAAGTCAATATCACTCTTTGTTCCGAGATACACGAGGCGAAAATTGAATCCGAACATACATACATACATACGTACACGTGCACACATGGACACCTCTTAAAAACCATACTATTCAACACTAAAGACCTTGAAACGTGGAGATATGTTAAAATTTCCAATTTGCAAAATCGGACCAATTACAATAACTTCCCACTGGGAAGTTAAAAAAAACCTTTAAGGCTGTTGTGAAACTAATATATCGCACTATTTGCTTCAGACAAACAACATGTCGCTGCCAACCGTTACTATTGACGAGCTTTCCAATGGAATCGATGATCCGACCACAAATGCGAGCGCGAAGAAACTTTTAGAAGGAATTCTTAACGACTTTATGGACTTGCAGTACGGCAAGGAAACCCCATACACCACAGGCAAACAGGTCATTCCCAGCGGATGTACAGCTGAGGATTTAAACGCGGCTATTGAGAATGAAACCACAGAAAAGAAGTTCAAGGATGTATTTGTCAAAATCTTAGACACCTACAAAAGCGGAGACATGACACCACAGCCCAACAATGGAGGTTGGGATCCAAAACTCACACCTGTCCTCGTTCTGGTTACTCCTAAAAACTAAGTACTTAGTTAAGTTATTATTGTACGATTAAATTACCCCTTAATTTTACGCTATTGTTGTAATTATCATGTTTGACTAATAAATTTATAATTCATCATATAACCGTTTGTTTTACTAAAACCCCTATGTTAATTGAATTTTAAATAGAAGTTTATAATGGCCTTGATTAAAATCTTTGGTATATATCAACTTAATTCCGATTATTTATTTCTATACCTATATTATGTAAAGGATCGCTAGAATAACACATTTCTTGTATAACTATCAACTTTAAATCTTTTTTTTTTTCATTATTTTCATTGTTTGTTGGGCAATCCATTATATATAGTAGTTACTATTCCGTGAGATGGTCAGGGCGTAGGCGTGATAATATGATTACTTAATTAACTCTTTTTTGTTTGATGAACTTTTGATATTTTATATTTAAAATATAAATATAAAAAAAAACACTATCATTATCCTAATAATATAAAAAATACAAATAGAGGTAACATTCTTTTTTTGTTAATGTTAGCGATTAAGGTGCACTTTTGAATTTTGTAAACATTTTTATTTTTTGATATACGGGTATGTATATTGCCTTGAAAAGTAAACAATTTAAGTTTGAACAGAAAATTCTCACGTCTAATCTGTAGGGGTAAGGTGAGGGTTTTAAATTGAATACATACCATCTTTTTTATAGAATAAAAGTGACAAACGATCACACAGTCCACCTGATGGTAAGTGGATGCTGTGGCCCATAGACATCTACATTTATTCTCGATTAAGAATCAAAACGCAGATGCGTTGTCACCTATGAGGACTAAGATGGAAGGCCTCGTTTTCAGTAAAAAAGGGCCTCCGGATTTCTACACTCGCCATATGAAACACAGCAGCATAAAGCTGCTATTTTACGCTGGTATTCTGTAAGAGCGTGGTCCTCTCCGGTCGAGCCAACCCATTCGTGCTACAACCATAATATAGCTGTAGCGTGGATCTATCACGTTTGTCACTCTACCACGTTTGTCGCTAGGCATTACACTAGTCCCCTCCAAATGGGTTTCCGCCTTATCGTGGGGGGGGGGAGCATAGTAGCTGTGGTTTGGTCACTCACGGTGAACTAAGTGGAACCCACATGGTTGTGTCGGAAGGCTGGGGTCAGGAAGGAAGTTTCCGTGTACTCGTTTTTGGCCTCCGCGCTTCGGGCACGGCTGTCGCTTGTGGGTATCATGAATGTGTATGAAAGCGTTCCCGTGGCTCCATCGAATTGCGGAGAAGATTATTCACTATGAACTTTTGGTCGATACGAGTCCGACAAAAACATTCTTGCCCATTCGTGGAGGCATTTCCTCAAAAAAAAAAAATGGAGGCCTAAATCCCCTACGATTATTCAAAATTTGTTATGCGAAAAACTTTGAGAACTATTCGAGAAAGAAAAATTCTGTTCCTATTAATCCGGATAATTTAGTGAAGTAGTTCTTGAGTCGCAATATGAAGTAGTCCTTAATTATGTTACTCAGGAAGTGATTTAAGTTGTTTAATTGAAATTTGAATACAATTTAAGTTCAGAGGACGATTTCAAGTTCATCGTAATTTTATATCTTTTCGATAACTCATTTTCATACCATTTCATCATCATTATCATCATCATCATCATCATCATTACAGCACATCATAAGCTCGTTGCTAAATATAGACCTCCCCAAAAATACCACAATGCACGTTATTCATCTTTAGATATCTATAATTAAAAATTAAATTTAAAATCGAGATAATGTATAATTCACTTTGAAACGTATTCTCTGGGAAAGGTGTTCAGTGGTAATGTTTTTTTTCAATGCAGTGTGACAGATTCACATGTTTAACGAGGTAACACATTTTAACGAGGAAAATTTTTTTATAAAGCCTTTATCGACCCCTGTTTCTATCTCTGTTTGTAAAAAAATTCAGATAGGTCAAGCTTCCCCCATTTTAAGTAGTCATAAATCAATTCCATAGTAAATATAGATCCAAATGTAAGAGTGGAGTCCTAAGGTAGCTGTTATTGAACACTTTTCATTATATATTATATACGTTGTTGTTAACTTTTGGTCATATTTAATAATCTGTTTTGCTTCGAATTATTTGTTTAATTGTTTATAATATAGAATTTAATAACATATACTTAAATAAAAAAAATTATTGCAATTAAAGAGATGTCAAAGTAAAATTAACTCTATTTAAAAATGATGTAAGTGTTTGGTCCTGATATAGATACCAATAGTTTCAGGTTTAGACGACAGTAAAGTAACACGAAATTTACAACAATAGATAATTGTGTACATATTAATTTAAGAATACGTTTCGTCTTTAATATTTAATTTAAAATTACAGCCTATATATGTCCCACTGCTGGATACAGGCCTCCTCTTAATTTTGAGAATGTTTTAGGGCAAGGAATAGTCCGCCGCGCTGTCCCAATGTGTGTTGGCGAACTTCACATGTCTTCGAAAATATTTTTTCTTATTTCTCAGACATGCAGGTTTCCTCACGTTTTTTTCCTTCACCGTGGCGAGAACGTGGTAAATCAGAACAAAAAATTGCAATTACAATTTCATTGGTGCCGGCGGGAATCAAACGCGGGTTGCTCGCGTACTGTGAAGTTGACAGCGAGCGCTAACCATTTGAGCTACCACGGCTCTTTATTATATATATTTAATTTATTTAGTACTCCTTATATTACAAACAATCAAATCACGTAAGATTTGATATACAGGTGCCTAGGGTAGAAATGGTCCCGTTACAGAGGATAAGCTTTTATGATGGCTTAGTAATAAAATAAAATAAAAATTATATTAGGTATATTCTAGGAGCCACGTTAGTGAAAAGATGAGTGTGGGAAACCGGTGACCCTTTATACTCGTTATGAGGCATTGTATTTTAGTCCTCGGGGGTGACAATGTGTCCTACACTTTTAATCTTAATCGAGGAAGCATGGCATCCACTTACTATCAGGTTGACAGTGTGCTTATTTCTTACCCTTATTGTATATGAAAATATAAGAGGATACATTGAAAGTGAATTGAAATTTTGGGGGCGTGGCTTATTTCTTTGTCGGTGAAGCTAACGGACGACTGAGGGAGTGTCAAAATGAAAGTGATGCAATGATTTCATAGTACGCAAATTATGAGATAGCCATACCGAGCAAGCGCTCGGAAAAAAACTAAGTAAGCGCCAAACAACATTTTTATTTATTTTAACAAAACTTCGTTATGGATTAAAAAACTGGTATATGAGAACTTAGATATGATTATTTACTATGCCTTAAAAATAATTCCATGAACTTATTTGTAACAATATTGTGGTGTCATCGAGAAATGTAAATAATTAGAGTCTACTTTGCAATTTTTTCTATAGAGAATATTACATGATATCGTGTTTTCCTTTTATGCAATCCAAGATCATATAGTCAAAAATCATATACCAAATTTTTGGTTTGGAATCTATAAAACTTAAAAAAATATGTTAAATAGAAAAACCACCAAATTTTCGAATTTTATCACCTTAAGTAAAACATTTTTTCGGAATAAATGTAAAAAGTGTAATTATTAGGTTTCAAAGTTCAACAAATTGTAGTTATGACTAATCATGAGTCGTTTTTTATGGTTTTATATGTTCTGAAATTTTCACAATTGAGTTGCGGAAGTAAATGCGAAAATTTACGAGAAATGCATAAAATACTAGAACGCGACTGTTCGTTATTACAGAATGTTTGATGATTTTTGTTCATTTTTGACAAGATAAAACGACGAATTCTAAGCCATATTGAAATGAAATTTAGATTCAAAATAGTACATACATATTCGGAAAGTAATTCTATGCTCAATGAGGTTGCTTTATTTTAAAGAACAGTTTCTAAAAGTAGAACAGAATTGAACAATGAACATTTGCTTACTCCAAACTTTATAAGAAGCCTGTAAAGTTTTTTAAAATATAATTTATTTTTAATAATACAACATATTTAATAGATTTTAAATGTTGGTTTATAGAAGTGACTAAACGTTCTACCTACTAAAGTTGTCATATTGTTATTATGATTTTATAAAAAAATACGAATAGTGTAGTATTGAATCGAATCGTGTACCGTGTAGTGGTGTTGTAAGAATATGTATTATTTACTATCCCATATCATCACGCATACGACATACGTAAGAGGCGACAGAGGATAAGAAGTCAGGAGATGGGAAGCAGTGTCTTCCCAATAACGACAAAAGTTAAAGAAAAACGACGGTTACGAACTCGCTTGCCAAGCTTGGCAACTATGGCAAATCCTCCTTATGAGGCAAGCTATGGGGCAGGCCTATGTTCAGCAGTGGAGTGATAACTAGGTATAATAAAAATATTTCTGATGGATTTCATCATAATATTGACTCATATTAATTCAGATGTAAATTGAAACAGGTGGTGGGTAACATCATTTTCCCGATAACAAATCAAAATAAAAAAAAACTGCGATTGCCAGCCCGCCCGCCAACCGTGACAACTATTGCAGGGTCACCCCTATGAAAAATAGGAGAGACTTATGAAGGCAGTGAAATTTTAATGGCTGTAATGGATTGACTCATATTTATCTATAATAATTTTGCTTTTAGATATATAATAGAATATTTTTCGCAGAACGAGATCATTTGCCGTAGTCTTTCTTTGCTTTGTCTTTGCTAGGTTTTCGTTGTTGTATGTTATGACTTTCTGATATTGTTATATTACTTAGTTAACTTTAAAAAAATTCGAGATCAGCAATGATCACAAAGATTTTCAAAGTATTTTATTATTTAATTTAATTTATTTTAAATTTGGGATATATTATAGTATTATATTTCGAATTATGCCTCGTAGATCTAGTGGTTTAGTAGCGACTACCTTCGAATCTCGGGTCGGGCCAAAAAACAATTATTGAGTTTTTCTATCAAGAAATTCTCAGTAGCTGTCCGGAGTCAGGAAATTGGCGGTGTCTCGCCCATATATTCAAAACAAACAAGTGG